GCGGCTCATGTTCGGGGAGGTCGAGGTGCCCGGAAGGGGGACGCGGGCGGCGTTCGGGCTCGTGTCGGAGCAAAAGGTTGAGGTTCTACGAAGGCGGAGGTAATTTGGTATCTGTGTTTCGATTTTTATTCTATTTGCGATACAAACTATGTATTTATGTTAATCCCAAAGTCTGTCAAAAGAGCGCATTGTGCAGATTCAAAACACCATTGTATTCGGTTCGGAACGCACATCGACAAAACAGACACAGAACCCGATGAACCAACGCGCTTCGTCGCCGAAGGGAAGGTCACACGTGATCGCGTTTAACGCGAGTGAGGCGGCAACACGGACCGGAGACATCCCGCCCGACCAACTAAATCACAAGACGGAAAGCAAAATATGGAATCGATGGGAACGAAGCGTGGAGAAGCTTCGTCAGCGCCCGTGCGTGAACTTTTCCGTCAGTAAGGAAAGGTGGGGAAGGATAGAGGGAGTAGTACTAGTAGTGGGATTCCCGATGTGGACAAAGGCGCCGGTGCCCGAGCCCGCTGCACGCACGCACGGAGACTGATTCTGCCTTAGCAGCTTCCTAGCTGGTGGCATGCCCATCTTCCACTTGCACCTTCTCCCTTCCCTCCACAGCTCTTCGCGGCTCAGGCGAACCAGCTCCAGGTAAGAGACGTCGGAGATCGGGAGACTTCACAGGGAGCAGGTTGGAGCCTCAGAAGGATCGCGGGGCATCTCTACCGGCACCCTCTACCTGTAACCACACCGCTTGTCGTTCGCCCGCGCCCTCTTCCGCCCACGAGTCAGTGCGATGGACGCAGGTATTAGCCTGAGGTCAAGTCGCGGAGACCCAGTCTTGAGATGAGACGGCGATAACGACGATGAGTGGAGGATGCGGACGGCTCGATAAGGCTGGACGGAACAGAGGGCTGTGCCACGCGTGTATACAGAGAGTGTACGAATGTCTTGCGCCCCAGTGCTGTACGAACTGCACACATATGAGCCATCTGCGCTGGAGCAAGAGGAAGGAGAGACATACATCGTTCTTCAGGGAACTGCCAATAACACGCGGGCCATAGCGCGCAGTGGGGGAATGGGGCAGACCGCTATCCTCCGTCCTCCGCCTCGCCTCTCTCCTTCCAGCCGAGCCCGACACGGGCGTGGATGCCGACACTGCGTACGCGAAGAGGTGCCGGAGATGTGGGGTACTGACGACAGAATCTCCTCTCCGCACGCCCGTCCACCTCCACCTCCACCGCCTTCATCTCCAGCGAAGACGAGGAGAGACGTACGTCCATTCTCAAGGGATTAAGGAATATGGGGTGGCAAATGCGGGCACGCGCTAGACCGCGAGTGGTGATGCATGTATACGGGCGCGGGGCAGATATGAAGGCAGCGCCGAGTCGGCCACCGTTATACGCGGGCATGGGCGTGACGAGCGGGGGCGGGATGGAGTGATGACCGTAGGGATCGCAATGGAGTCGACTGCGCTACCCCCACACCACCCTATGCCACGCCGTCACCGCGTCGCCTTGCTCAGCGTAGTCAGAATCACCGAGTCCGCAGCCTTGAGACCGGAACGCGGCCGTCGCCCTCGCACTCTCTCACCGGCACCCACACAGTCCAGCTCCCCATCTCTAGCCGCTTCCCAAAGAACGAGAACGAGAACGGGGAAGGGAGAAGTACGCGTCCTCTGTACTTAGAATGACCGACACGGCCGTCGCCCTCCCACCCGCACAGTCCAGCTCCGTCTCCTTCCCCATCTCTAGCCGCTTCCCAAAGAACGAGGACGAGAACAGGGGGAAGGGAGAAACTCTTCCTCGGCGTACTCAGAATGCCGTCGCTCGCGCCTGGGCAGTCCAGCTCCGTCTCCTTCAAGGAACGAAGACGGGCACGGGAGGTATGCGCTCCGAGACCTTGGACCGAGGAATGGGTGCACCATCAGCTAGAGGAGGGCGTACGTGACGTATGCCGCGCAGCCCGCGCGCGATTTATGTGTAGGTGCGGATGCGCCTACTCCGTGCCATCCCGGCCGTCGCACCCCTCGTCCCGCCGGCAGATCTATACTGCGAGGACGTGCGGCGACTCGTTCACCGCTGATTTGAGTATGGTGCGGTGGCGAGGAGCGAACGCGGAGGGGTCGGGTCGGGTGGATGGTATGGGGTGTGGGGGCTGCGCTGAGCTGCGGGCGTATACGCAGCCACATCCTTGACTTCGCTCTACATCGCGTTCCTCGCGCCGGAACCCCTGTATTCGTCATCACATCTACGCCGCCCGCCCGGGTCCGGGTCATCCGGGTCGTCCTCCCGCTCGAGATGGGCAGGTCCGCGTGCAAGGACCGAGGTGAAAGACAGAGGAGCGGGGGCGACGAACGGCACGCGCTCGACAGCTAGTCGAGGAGCGGATGGGGCGGTACTACGGCTTCCGGGACCTAGGGAGGGGCGACGCCCGCACGGGGCTTCGAGCTCGGCGTATAAGTACGGGTAGAGGTGCGGCTGTTCTGCGAGGGCGATGTGGTGTGTCCCCCGCCGTCGAGACCGCGCTTCCTATGCAAGGCAGCGATTCCGAAGCGGAAGAGGACTTGGGTTGCCCGGTAGGGCGGACAGCGGTGGGATCCCGCGGCAGGTGGATGGTAAGGACGGCTCCATCGAGGACGCAGGCAGAAGGCCGGGCCTTATCTCGAGCGGCGGCGGGGAGGATGGAGTCGTTGGGCGGAGAGGATAGAGCCCAGGAGGTCCTTCAGCTCTGGATCCTCTTGCGATATGTATCGTCGTCGCCCAGCCGCTCCCGCAGGATTCAGCGACATGGTAGATAGTGCGGCTGCGCGTGCCGTCGAGGGTTACACAGATGAATAGATAATGGATCGGCAGCGTTTTGCGCCGACGGATAGCGACGAGGAACCCCGAGCGGGTGCTGCAGAAGCTAAGATTGCGGCTGGCGCCACGATCAGGAGCGAAGAGGTGGCCGGGTGGCTTATAGAACGCCAGCGCCGCTTATCTTGGCGGGTTTCGGTACTTGCTCTGTGCAGGGAGATTCGTGCGCCCCAGAGACAAAATAAACGTTTGGATACAGCACGACCGGCGAGGGGGAGCCAAGCCTGGGTCTGCAGTTCTTCATGACGATGCATGTGAGCCAGCCGTCGTCACGGAAGGGGAAGGGGATACGTACTTTGATTTCCTGACCGACGGAGGTGAAGGGGCGTGCTACTCAGAAGTCCTCCCGGTGTATTCTTCCGGGGTGCGTCTGATTTTAGGGTTGCCGGGTGTGCTCTTGGAAGCAACGAGGGCGTACGTAGGGTGCAGGGCGTCTCGTGAAAGCGGCCGAAGCCAAGACGGTCCTCTGTTCTCTGACAGTCGTTAGCATGCGCAGAGAGCAGTGAATATGAGGTGAAATCAAATGAAATCCAGAAGCTGGAGGCAAAGTGGTCCACAGTGCTGAACGGGAAGAGTTTCGGGTACAGAAGGCGTCGGGAACGCACCTAGCACATGTTTCTGAAATCGGACTCCTTCCACGCGCTGCCACCTGGGGGAAGAGGCACAGAGTCTCAACAAGGGTCCTGTCGCATATATACTGCCGTTGTACGTCGAAAACCTTCGATTGAGGGACGACGTTTTCGAGCTACCGGTCCAGTTCCAGGGTCGACGGTCAGGCTGAGCGATGAAGAGTGCAATTCCTTCGTAAGGTGATACTCCGACCCATTAGAAAACAAGCTAGAGTGTAGAATCTGGCGGTGGTCGTTTCGAGCAAGCTTGAGCGCGCATATGCGGCGTCGGACCAAACTCGGAAGCACTCCGACTCTTGCCGACGACCCACGTCCTAGGTCAAGCCCAAATCTTGGTCATTGTGCAGCAAGCTCAGGGCAGTATGGACTCTTGCTCAACCCCTTGGATTTCCAAACTCGGGCTGCAAACGGTATCTGGCCAAAGCTTCAATTTCTGGGCATCCGAATTGCGCTGAATTGCGTTGCCTCGGAGCTCGGACTTTCGATGATTTTGTGCTGTACTCTTTCTCTCGAGTTGCAATGTTTCCACGCTACCTCGACGCGGCTCGCACCTCCTGAAAAATTCAGCACCTATTCATCGCATTCCCCTCACTAATATCGGACGTGCTGTGCGATACACAACGAGCCTCCGTTGCATCCATCCGTTTGTTGCTCGTAATCTGGGGTTCGACTCCCCGCGTCTGAATGGTGTGGACATTTCTTTTTGGTTCCTCAGAGACACTGAAATGTCCTACCTGAATTCGCACTTTGGCCGTTCGACTGGCGCCACTGTTACTGTCCGCATTTTCATGTACTAGCCTTGAGGCGACGCCTCCGCCGACTAGACACATTCAAACCTCGATGCGTGGAATAATCACCTCCTTCAGTCGCTCACTGACAACCGTAACCTAGCCATTCCAACATTCTCAACGAACATCGGGCATGGTGTACGGTACGCAATGAGTCTCATTATTGTAATGTGTGCGCTTCCAGCTATGACACTCGTAGATCGGGGTTCGACTCCCCGTGCTCGAATAGGGCCAAATTATCTATGTCCTTTTTATTCAGACCCCACTTCGGCCTATTGATACCTGCAGAAATTTGCGCGGTGCTGGGGGTCCAAAATAGACTCTAAATTTGCCTTGAGCTCAATTTTCGCGCTGATATCGGTGAGTTGAAAAATCGCATCCTCCTTCAATCGGCTTAATGTAACCTAGCCATCCCAGCACCGTCAAAGAATATCGGGCATGGTGTACGGTACACAACGAGTCTCATTACTGCGTTCTGCGTTCAGCTACGAAGCTCGTAGATCGGGGTTCGACTCCCCGTGCTCGAATATGGGGACAGTATCCACATTTTTTTATTCAGACCCCTCTTCGGCCTATTTGACAGCTGCAGAAATTTCCGCGGTGCTGCTGGTCCAAATTTGGCTTCAGCTCAATCTTCGCGTTGATATCGGTACGCTGCAAAATTATCCCTTGGTTCAAATCGGCTTACCGTAACGTAGCCACTCCCGCAATTCTAGACAACCTCGGGCATGGTGTACGGTACACAGCGAGTCTCACTGCAATGCTTAACACGAGGTCAAGCTCGCAGATCGGGGTTCGACTCCCCGTGTTCGAATACAGCGAGGTCACCTTCTTTTTATTCGGAAGCCTATCTGATTTGGCGCCCCCAGAAATTTGCGGTCCTCTCAAAGAACCCATTCCTTTGCTCTGTTGCTCTGGATCTCATCCATTCGGCCATCCCACTCAAGGTGAAAACAACAAGACATCTCACTTTTTGTTGTCGGTGCGTTAAGAAATTATCTCTTCGTTCAAATCAGCTTACCGTAACCTAGCCATTCCAAAGCTACCAGAGAATATCGGGTATGGTGTACGGTACACAGCCGGTCTCTGGGATGTTCAACACGACGTCAAACTCGCAGAGCGGGGTTCGACTCCCCATGTCCCAATGGTTCTTCATAATTAGAATATGTTTGTATATTCCTCGTTGTCTAGTGTGATCTATCTAATGGCACCTGCAGGAAATGCCGTTCTATCTGTCCAAATTTTCCTCTTCCTTTGCTTGGAGTTTGGATATCTTAACACTTTTGATCCTTCCTCTCGGTGCGTTAAAAAAAACATCTCGTTCGAATCAACGTAACCTACCCCTTGGAATACTGGTAGAAAATATCGGACATGGTTTACGGTGCACAGCGAGTCTCGCTGACGTCGTTGTGTGAGCCGTGTGTGAAGCTCGCATATCAGGGTTCGACTCCCCGTGTCCGAATGGACCGGACGTGTTGTATCTTTTATTCCCGTCGTCTTCGGTTCACATTCAGGGCAAAGACATATGCACACGAAAAAATGTGCCTTCAATACATTGTGTCACACATGCCTCGCAGATGAGCGTGATGATTTTACAATCTTTCTTTACACACAACGAGGGACAAAGGTCAGACAAAGGGCAGAATTCCCTGGGACCCCTGCTGCCCTTTGCCTCTGCTTCAAGTTTGTCTAGCCTTTGTACAGCAAGAACAATTGTCGAACTGTGACTGAGGCTTTGTATGGCCGACCACCATCGTGCATTTAAGGCACATGTGTACGGGTCTTTGCCCGTAGTATCATTCCATCCAGTACCTATAGAAGTTTGCGTACCCACCGTCAAATTTTCAGCCTATTCCGCTGCTCTGGATCGATTCGACCACTTAAGCTAGTAAGTTACTCAAGAAGCCCAAGCGCTCAAGGCGAAAACAGGATTCCCACGTCCCAAATCTCGCCCTGTTGACGGTGCGTTGAAAATTATCCCCTGGTTCAAATCGATATACCGTAACTGAGGTATTCCAACGCTACTATTAGCGACTGGGTACTGGGCCGGTCGGGGTACTGGGCCCTTGGATAATAGAGGCTCTTGTGTTGCAGAAGTGCGTGGTTTCGTGCTTGGAGGATGGAATACGATGTATAAGAATGTCGTTCATCAAATTTCTAGCCGGAGTGATGCATTGATCTGAAGCTGTGGTCCGTTTGGTTCCGATGGTAGGGTGAGAATTGATCATTCCTTATCTCCGAACACCACTCGCCCTTTTCTTTCTCCTCGTTCTCGACCAATTCTCCTCCGATTCCCATGTTTGCGGGCTCGTTTTGTTGCCTTTACATAGGGCAATGTTCCCTGTGGAGACTAGACGCCAGAATGAGTTGGAATCTCTGCTAGACTGTCCAAAAACGGCCCGCCCTTCTCGTGAGCTTCCCAAGATAGATTGCCCTATGGCGACGCACCGGACATTGCTGCCGCCCTAAATTTCGGTATGTACACTGGCTACATGCACTCAAATTCCCTCATCCCTCCATTCCGCCTTCCGCCGGTCATATTCGCATTCGCTGTGAGCCATTCCATCGAACTAGCCAATTTCGGTGTCGGAAAGAAATGGATTTTGTTTGGAGGGTTACTGCTATGAAGGGACCATGCAATGTACCTAGGTATGTCCCATTGCTTCCTATCTATCCCTCCAGAACTTAATTTTACCTAATATTGGTCTCTCTACTTTGTAGCGCAGGCGATTTCGTCGAAACCGCAGTTTCCGCCATCCTCCCTTCCCGGAAATACCACTAGTTATAACCCTTGCACACCCTTAGTTCCCATGCTGAGGGTATATAATCATACATTAGAACCCCTTGAGTCATTCTGAGTACTCCAAGCTGCTTGGTACAAGTCTCGACGCCTGAATTAGGCCGGTGGCCCACTACCCTTTATTACTATTTTAGGGTCTGGCCGAACATAAATTCGGCGGCGGCTCAAAACACGACGTAAAAGTGCCCTAAAATGACCCGCCTCACTCCTGGTATGTCGGTCCTCACCCAAGGGTTGATATCTGACCATATTAACTGCTGAACCTGCTGGCCAGCGGGCAAAAGTGCTAAGGTGGCCCAGTACCGGGTGACAAATAGTACCAATTATCGGACATGGTGTACGGCACACAGTGAGTCTCATTCCGCGCTCAAATCACCATGTGGAGCTCGCAGATCGGGGTTCGACGCCCCCCGTCCGAATATCCAAGGCTTCCAACACAATTTTTTTCCTTCTTATTATTTTCGTTGACTTCTGCTCAACTGGACTACACCATGTAATATAGAAACTCGGAGCGCTGCGCTGCGAAGCCATCAAAACGCGTCCATGATAGACCGCTAACCGATCTCTCGTATGAAGGGAAAACCTATGAACAAACTTGTTCTCGTAGGCAGATCGATTCCTGGTCTAAGTCCATATGTAAACTTAGCTTCGACTCCACCCAGGACAGACTCCCTCCAAGTACGATTTACCCAAATCGCCATTTTTATGTGCTCGGGCATCTCGGGCATGTTGAAAATACATATTCATGGATTTCGGTTGCAGTCTTTTTGACGGAGCGGCACAATTCGCCTCTTTTAATCCTTTCAAACATATAGCATGAATGTATATATCTTATATGTCGTCGCTTGCTTCCAACTCACACGCCGCGGCTCCGGTACAGATTCGGTCCGAAGAGTGGTGTGTCTTGCTTCCCACACCATCGACATTCTCAGGCTGCTCAGTCTCCTCCTTGGACCATGGCCGAATCAGCTTACAAGATTTCAGTTCCCAACTCTCTCCTGGATACTCTCCACCAAAAGCTCGCTCTAACCACTCTCCCGGACGAACTTGAAGGCGCGGGATGGGACTACGGTGTTCCCCTTGCGGACGTTAAACGACTTCTCGCGCGATGGCAGGATGGATACGACTGGCGGCGCCACGAGGCCCAGCTGAACGCTGAGATGCCCCAATTCACTCGCCCGATCTCCGTCGATGGACACGGAACGCTGTCAATCCACTATGTGCACCAGAGAAGTGAAGTGGCTGAGGCAATCCCGCTTCTCTATGTTCACGGTTGTTCGTCCGCTTCTGTCTCTTTGTCAAGGAACAAATAACAACGGAGCTTAGGGCCAGGAAGTTTCTTTGAGGGGCGAAAGATTCTTCCTTTATTGAGCAAGGAATCGGTGGGCCACCCGAGTTTCCACGTCGTTGTTCTGGGCCTTCCGGGCTATGGCTTCTCTGAGGCTCCTTCGAAAAAAGGGTTTGGCATGAAGCAGTATGCTGAGGCAGGCACTTGGAGTTCCATTTCCCTTACCCGTTCTGATTGTAAAGTTTTCAGGTTGGAAACAAGTTGATGCTGGCGCTTGGTTACAATGAATATGGTTCGCCGATTTCGCACATAGGATAGCGGACGAATTCTCACGCAGACTATCATGCAGTCACTCAAGGAGGAGATTGGGGGTTCCCGGTATTTTTGCTTGATTCAACATTTTCGCAGGCTGAATTGTATCTAGATCACGAAGAAAATCGCTCAGCTATACGGGGGAAAGCATAGCAAGGCCTGGCACACAAACATGCCTATGCAAGTCGTGTGTCATCGTCTCAGTACCATCCGTCCTTATATCTTTCGATCAACAGAGGCGTACAGCCTACCGACAGCGAGGGCCAGCTCGAATTGACACCGAGAGAGAAAGCCGGGCTCGAAAGAACGATTTGGTTCCGCAGCAAAGGCAGGGGGTACTTCATGGAACAGTCCACTGTACCACAGACCCTAGGTTCGTCCCATCCCGGATCAAAATATCGTAATAACACCTATTTTCTTCGTTTAGGATACGCGCTCGCCGACTCGCCTGTGGGCCTTTTGGCTTGGATATACGAGAAGTTAGTACTCTGGACAGACAATTACCCCTGGGATGACGATGAAGGTTCTTGTCCGAGTGCTTTCGTCCTCAGATGGCCTGCTGATTACTGTATTCACAGTTCTGACCTGGATCTCCATCTTTTGGTTCTCGTGCAGTGGACCCGCCGCTTCACTGCGCATCTACTTTGAATTCACTGCTGAGAGTGAGGCAAGCCATTCGCAACCAGAAGCGGCCCCACCAACGATCCCGTTGGGTCTATCCCATTTTCCTGATGATATCGTATCATTCCCTAGAATGTTGGTCAACACTTTCCTGAATTTATACCGATGGATTGATTTTTCTGGGGTAGCTGGTGCCGCGGGATAGGCAATATTGTTTTCGCCCATGAACACGAGAGTGGAGGGCATTTTGCTGCGTACGAAAGGCCGAACGAGCTTGTCGATGACTTGAGGCGGATGTTTGGCCGGGACGGACCTGCGTTTGGAGTGGTGTCTGGGATGCCTGGGTATCCCGCAGGGAATGGCTCAAACAGCAGCAGACTTTGAGCTCGAGGCGCTGAGTACGTGTATGATATTATAGCAGGCGAAGAAAATGTTCTTTCTATGTATATCCTCCGCCGTGTGTCAGGAAGCATCTACTAACTGCATGCAGCAGCCTTTAGCCTTGGGAAGCCTGGTGTATATGCATTTACCTCTGCCTTGAAACACTGCCAACACGGGTAGTCAGCAATCATACCCTGCGTTCCTGAGCATAAGGACCTCCACAGAGCTACACTTAGTGCGGCCTAGACCCAGTCTGCGTAGCTGAATGTAGGTCTATCTAGGCCTGCCTAGGTTCGTGTAGATCTGCAGCGTACTTTAGCTTCGCCCAACTTGGTTAAGGAATCAGTTTTTGAAACCAAAATTGCAACATTCTTGCATCGACAAAAGACGGGTGATGGTAAGGGCCGCAAAA